TGGTGGTCAGTAAAACTAACGCACAAAATATACTGATTTAAAAAAAACAACAACCAGTTTGAATTTAAATGTGCCAACAACGCTAGTCATCAAGATGTATATTTAAAAAAACAACGCCAATGCAAAATCAAAATGTTTATTGGGTTTTGTTATAGTTCTCAAAATGAGTGGGTCTCACATATTCTTGAGCATATAAATCAAAGTTTTAAAAACTAAATGGTGAAATAAATTAATGGAATGTTAAGCTAAGCTATGATAATTATTTTAAAAATAAAAAGTCACAATTACTTTGGGGCATATTCAAGGTGAGTAATACATTTTTACACCGCAATACCTGTTCTTATCGGAAATGCATGGTATATATAAGATTTCAAAATGATTTAATATTTTATCTTAGTGAAATAGCTCCTAGATAAACCTTTTCATTTAGAGTCAGGAAAAAGTCAAGCCAAGTTTTTAACCTTCCATATGAAATAATTGGAACTGTGTTAAATTCATTCTTTTGAATCTTTTATAATTTCATAACCTCAGTGGAGAAGAAATTTTGAATATAACTTAAAATAAAACACAGAGACCTCACAAAGATGTTGTCATGTAATTTTTAGACACGTTATAGTATAGTATGGACAGAGATGGCAGACAGAGACATGGAACTCAACTATTGTCCACAAAGTGTGTGAAGGAAACTGAGACTAAAACTGTGATGTGTAAATAGTTTTGTTTAGGATGTTAACGGTTATGCTTGGTGACTGGAGTAAGTTTAGGTCTATATAACTAATAGCTCTGTGTCTGCAAGAAACAATCTTAACAACAAACTAACAAATGTATAGTAGGAACTTATAAGCCCACTATTTCAAATTACTGCCAATTCTCTTTTTGATTCACACCAAACTAATTGACAAAATTGCAATTTATTGTAATAAAAAAAATTTTTTTTAATGAAAACAATAAAAATCTTACTGTAACTATAATTCTTAATAATTAGGCTGCATTGTATAAAATGTGTGTCTTTTGAGTATTGCCAATATTTGAAAACTTAAAGATGATTTTAAAAAAAGAACAAATAATACGATATTCATCAAACTGAAATAAATGGCACAATTTTCTATCTTCTGATAAATTCAAAATGTGTCTTGTGAATTAGAATACTGTATTATGAGACAAAAACTGTTAGCTGGTTGTAAAATTTGCTAGTTTCAGGCATGCCTAGTGAATCCAAGCCTTTGATCAGACTTGAAAAGCTATCTTTTTTCTGAAAATGCTTGACTGGGAACTATTGAATAATGATTCACAACTAGACTGATGACATCATCAAATGGGGAAGTTTTTTAAAAACTGTTCAATAATTTCCATAACAGTTCCATAACTGTTTGCTCAATTTAGTAATTTAAAATTTAAAAAATTCAAAGACTGATGTCCCTATGTACACTTCAAATTCTGCCATCCTCAGACAGAGCTGAATACAAATACAATTTAGAGTAATGCAAATAATTAAAGTATTCACATACAAAACTGCAAACAACTGCAAGTTATGCAAGGCTTCAAAAAATGTTACACTTTAGCATATATTTGTGTGTAAATATACAAAATAAAATAAAGACCAGTTGCAATGGGAAGGTCTATCTTACGCTAACTGAAATATTATATAAAAAAGTAAATTTTTTATATATATATATATGTATATATAAATTAAGCAGTGGTCCCCAAATTTTGTTTGCATGTATTAATTCTTTAAACATAATTTTGTAGATGACAAGGCTTAAACATACAGTGGCCATTAAATTATCTAATATGTATCAAGGTCAGTTATTACTGCATTAGAGGATGACCTTCCAGATCCTGTTCATGTAAGCAGAGTTGATATGATTTCCTCAATAAAAAAATTAAGCTCAGCTAACCGGTATATTGGAAGAGATCTTAAAATTTCCTAATGGTTTACTTTTTTTAAAACTGAGACATTTTTTAATCATTCCCTTTATACAGTTATTTTGCTTTTTTTAAAAATCCAATACCAAGAGTGCAGATACAACTTATAAATATGTACCTCCATTTCAACCACAAAACAGTCAATGAAAAGCCTTATAATATAGAGACTCATAAAATTTCAAACAAAAAGAGTTGTTGCATTATTGAAAGCTGTGAATTTGGTAATTTAATTTAAAGTAATATAATGTAGAGAAAGTTGAACAGCAAGAAAAAAGCACATAGATGTAATATATGCTCAGCTCGTAGTCTTTACTTGCATCATCTGACAAGGTGTGTCCCAGCATTTAGTACATTTCAATTTTTGTTTGTTAAATAAATAATATTTTGCAACAATGGAAATGCTAGAAAACTCTACAGAAAAAAAAAAAAAAGATATTAGCAGTAACATTTACAAAATGTTTATAGGCACAAATAGAAATATGTCAGAACACTAACTGTTGGCTTATAAACATGAACATAAATTTTCAACAGCACGTAACTCTAGGTATATGTACAGTTTTACAAAATAATTTCAACAGCTTCACCTACATTTCATTTTACCACTAAAAAAATACACAGAGGAACTAATTTTTTAAATCCTATCAACGCATCTCAAAAATAATAAGAAATAAATGTTCATGGCACTAACAAAAATGATTGCCACTCCAGCTCACAGCATACTCAGTGATGTGTTCTGATCAATTTCATAATAATAAAGAAGCATATTAGTAAACTTTTTATTTTTATAATTATAAACTTTGTATCAGCAATGTGTCAACAAATTTAAATTATAGCTCTTAACATTAATATTCCTTTTAATCTATTTGAGTTATTCGATGCAAGATGAAATGGTGAACGATTGTTTTAATTTTTAAGGAAACTAAAACTTATGTGAAAGGTTTGCTGGGATCAGTAATTTTATGGGTTGTGAATATAAAATGTTACAGCATTCTAAGTTAAATTTGGATTTGGTGAGATGACATGACTTTATGTAATATCATAGATTTGTATAACATAATCAAATTAAACAACCTCAACAAAACAGCAAGGAAGCTGTTTCAACATCTGTCCATAACGACTGCTACCTTTGTATTGTGGCACTAAGTTGGATGAGTTTATGTTTTAAAAAAGTTATGATTCCATACACAGAAAGAGTTGTTTGTTGCGTGTCTAGTGGACATGGATCAATAGTCATCATATCTCAAAGCAGATGCTGGGAAGAGTCACATTAAAGAAGCTAAGACCAGCAAAGGGTTAAGTGTTTATATATTTATGACTGTCATTATGACTCTAAGCCACCCTTGAAAGCTCCATGCAGTCACAAAAAGAGCTGGCTAAGACCATATACCATATCACTGTAATTAGTGTAATTTCTTCATTTAGACTTTCCATTCTATGGGCAGGGGAATATGGGTTATGTGTCCTAAGAAATGTGAACTCAGGTTGCTATGTTCTTCTGACAAATGTTAAAATGCTAAGTTATCACTGTAAATACTATGTCTTAAAAGCTCAGTTATCACCATATATACTATGTCTTGAATCCTAAGTTATTACAGTTACAGTATATACGTGTCTTGAAAGCTAAGTTATCACAGTATAAACTATGTCTTGAATCCTAAGTTATTATAGTTACAGTATATACGTGTCTTGAATGCTAAGTTACAGTGGCGACGCTACACCAGGTCCCGCCGGGTCCCAAGACCTGGTAAAAAAACTTGGGACCTGGCAAATGACCTGGTAAATTTTTATTAGTTACTAATATTGTATATATGCTCATTAAGCGTAAACTACATTACATGTAAGAGAACTTCCATTTTAAATGCCTTTATATGTTTAAATTTTTATTTTTAATACATTTATTTGGGACCCGCCAAATTTTGTTAAGACCTGCAAGGGACCCGCCATGTTAAATTTGATGGCGTCGCCACTGCTAAGTTATCACAGTATAAACTATGTCTTGAATCTTAGTTATTGCAGTATATACTATGTCTTTAATGCTAAGCTATTACAGTATATACTATGTTTTGAATGCGAAGTTATTTTTGTATATACTATGTCTTGCCAGGTTATTAATGTATCTACTAAGTCTTCCCACACTCCTAAACAGTATCATTATGTGAAAAGAGAATTGACCCTTATTATCACACAAGGTTTAAGTTATTAAGAACTTCATCTTATTTACATCATTAATAAGCCATATAACAGTCAAAGTCGTTAAAAAATCTCACAAAAACATTTTTGCATCATATGTGAGCTTTATCTATGTTGTAGCGATAGAAAATTCTTGGTTGCAATCATTCTAACGTTCTGTTTTATTTACACCTTATTTAAACCAAACATCTTCGATTAGTAGCTACTGATTCAAAAAATGTCAATCATATCACAATTTTAAATGCAATGAAGCAAAGCTTTTTTTTGGTTATGAAAAAGGCAGAAAGTTATTTACATGAAGAACCAGAAATCTGAAACTGTGTAGCTTCCCTTTGGTAAAAAATTATTTTTATAAAATCACATTCTTCAACTCATACTGAAAATAAAGAAAGTCTTTTGAATAATTATTTTTAAAGCTATTTTTGAGCCGATAGTTAAAAAATTGATTTAAAAATAAATAATCAAGTTGTGGAGTCAAACTAGTTCCCATTCCTATTTATATTTAGACTACCAATATTTTTCTACTGATGTTAGGATAACAACATTGCAAAATTGAAATAAATTTTAAAGAAATGTTTTAGATGGGTCAAAAATAATGTTAGCTATGTTATGCTGAGAATGTTTGTCTTCTATCTGTACATTAACATGACATGGAGGGATCAGCAAATCTGTAACTGAATATTCCAGGTCAGTTCAATGTCACATTACCATTATATAATTTGGTCATTAATCTTACGCAATAAAAAAATGTCCTATGTACATTATTTACTTCTAATCAATGAACAATTTTTTATATTGCAAGTGTAAAATACTTTCATGCTTACATTAGTTTTTACATTTTGTACTGGATTTACTTATAAACTTATTATTACAGCTTTATGGTCATCCAAGGCAAGTATCTCCTGACTCTTTATCTCTTGTGCCAGGGTCAACAACAGGGTTATTCATGTTCTTCTTTAATCTCATAATTACATGCTTCAAACAAATAGTGGATGTTTTTTAAATTATGACTGTAATATATAGGTTCACGAAAGATTTCAACAACACTGATGATGCCTCGATTTCATATTGAGCAGACAAAAGTTTTTCATGCCCAAAAACATATTGTGTGATCTAAAACTAATTCCCTTTGCAGGATCTAGATTTAACTAATCAATGCCAAATGTACTGGTTTCTTCTACTGCCATGACCAGCTTCTCAAACAGCATCTCAGAAGATGTGTAGGGTGGCAGATCAAGTCTGTTAAAGCAGGTGTGAGCCCTGAGAAAAAAAATATATCGGGGGACTTTTAGACATTGCTTTACTTATAATATTTGGTCATTACAATGGATCTCAAACTAAGGTAATCAATGATTGCAGAGAAAATCCATATCAGCTCCAGAGGCAATCTAAAAGGTAAAGTTTTGATGTTGGAATGATATTTATTTTTTTAATTTCAGGTACATAAAACCCCTTCCACTTAAGTTGTCTATCTCCATTGATGTTAAGAAAGGGGTTTTAAGTTATTAAAATGAATGGTTTTTGTAAGTCCAAAATAAATATGAAACAAATTAATTACAAGATAGTTGATATTCAGACTGAAATGAAAAAAAATAACATGTTAGGGGTAGTTCATAAAGGACATTTGGAACAATACAACAACAAAGCAAACCAAAAAAAAAAAAAAAGGAAGAGGAGGTGGGGGGTCGTGTCATTTAAAATCTGACGATTGCAGACAAGTGGGGCGGAGGATGCCCTTTAAAAAAATAACATTTTAGGGGTAGTTCAAAAAGGACATTTGGAAAAATACAACAACAAAGCAAACCAAAAAAAAAAAAAAAGGAAGAGGAGGTGGGGGGTCGTGTCATTTAAAATCTGACGATTGCAGACAAGTGGGGCGGAGGATGCCCTTCATCGCTGATCTATTTGAACATTATTTTAATCTAAATTCAAAAAGAAGTTAGCAAAAACTTCATGAAAGAAAGATATCACACTATAAATTTGGTTGCTAGTTATCAACAAATGTAAATATGCAGAGTTTGAGCTTCTTAAAATTCTCAGAATTATTTATTAAGATGTTTAATTCTAGAAACCTTTCACTCTTTATATTCGGTATTACTATTCTACTACTTCCTTACATTTCATACTGTATAATGCTATATGCTGACGTCCCCAACCCATTTGGGGCGGGGGGGGGGGGATGCTGACAAGAAGTATAGACAAAGAGGAGGGGGGGGGGAAAAGAGGGATATGTTTTGCAGCTGTCCTTTACAGAAAAACCCCATAGAGCAGAGCTGTCCAACCCACGGCCCGCTAGCTGATTTTAAATGTGTATAGAAAATAAAANGGGGGGGGGGGGGGGGGGGGGGGGGGGGATGCTGACAAGAAGTATAGACAAAGAGGAAGGGTAGTGGAAAAGATGGATATGTTTTGCAGCTGTCCTTTACAGACAAACCCCATAGAGCAGAGCTGTCCAACCCACGGCCCGCTAGCTGATTTTAAATGTGTATAGAAAATAAAACATTTTAGATGAAAATATTTTCAGACCACGTTCATTAATTTAGTATTGTTGGGACATTGCATGAGAGCACAGGAGAAGTTGTAACATGGAAAATGAGGAGGCCACAAAAGCTAAGGAATGGTATGACTTGACAGGTAGCAGTAATTTATATTAAGTACATCAACAGAGCAACCATTTGGGAACCTGGATGACATAACATTGGATACTGTCTTCCCTTTCTTTCTGTTGCTTGTCATGGGGTATCAGATATAATCACTGGCTGAATTGAGAAATATGAATAGGGAAACCAAATTTAACTTGATGTGTAGCTATTTGGTCACTGTCAAATGTCCATGCCCCCACCAATGGGACCAAGTGAGATGAGCAATGCGAGAGTGTGTCTCCATCCTGTACTGTTGTGAAGTTGGGGGAAGTATCTGGTATTCAGAGGTTCGAGCATGAGATATTCATTGAGTAGAAAGCAAAATACAAGCTTTGTTTGTTTGAAGTCAGGGATAAATTATGGGAGACAGTAGAACAATTCTTGAAAGTATCTTTTTTTTAAACAAACATAATGCGTGGCCAAATAAATTATGGATGATGTATGTTTCTTCTGATGAATTTTGACAATGTTTTTGGAAGGATACTTTAGAAGTGAAGCTGAATTGTCTGTAATGACCAACATCAAGTCCAAAAAAGTAACGTTTTGACTGTTTATCCATCACTGAGGTGCTACAGCCCAAATAGGGATTTGGCCTGCCACACCATATCTTTCCCTCAGTCCTCACTGATGCTTTTCTTTTTCATGCTTGGATTCCCAGCTGCTGTAGGTCCCTCTCTAAATCATCCATCTATCTAAGCCTAGATCTGTCTTTGAACCATTTTCCTCTGGGGTTTAGGTGGTGCACCCTCTTCACTCCTCTGTCATTTTTCATTCTTTCTAAATGTCTAGCCCAGCGTAGCCTGCCCTTTTTTATTTCTGCTACTAGTGTGGGAACCTGATAAAGACCATACAATTCCTGGTTGGTTCGGATGCTCCACCCATACTCATCCTTTATCGATCTGTATATTTTCTGGAGACTTTTCTTCCCCATATGTTTAATAGGTTTTCTGCTGCTTTTGTTAGGGTCCAAGTTTCACTTGCCTATGTTACAACTGGTCTGGTTACAGTTTTATAAATAGTTTTCTTTGTTTCTCTTGTAATGTTTTTACTTTTGAGTATTTTCTGACTACTGAAGTATGCCCTGTTTCCGGATGATATTCTTCATTTTATTTCTGTTAATAATATCATTTCTTTTATTTAATAAAGATCCCAAGTATTTGAATTTATTTACTTTTTCAAAATTGCTGTTTCTAATTTTAATGGCTTCATCTGTCTGTTCTTCTCTTATTGTAGTCATGTATTTTGTTTTTCGGTTGTTAACTTCCAGTTCTGCTTCTAGTGATGGAAAAATCTGACTATTTGTATTACCCTATTTTACAGACTATAAGACGCACTTTTTTCTTCGAAAAAGAGCCACCAAAATTCAGGTACGTCTTATATTCGAAATTAATATAAAAATGGTAAAAAAAAAATTTTTTGAATTGCTTAAAAATAAGTTGCGCTTTATAGTCTGTACAATATGGTAACACTGAACAGCCAAGAATTTAAGGAGCATCTAATCACATCAAATTTAATTTTATCCTTTGGATAATATTTGGAAGCTGGTCTATAGAGAATGCATTAAAAATTTATCTATCCTTTTTTTAAAAAAGCTTACCTTGGAAGACTTGTGACTTTTCCCCATTTCTCAATGCAAAACTTCCGAGGCCCATTACTGCCTCTCAAAGCAGAAAAACCTTCGTATGGAATACTGGATGAGCCAGTTACAAACTGGAAACAAGATTTGAGATAAGTTAAATTTTGTTATCTTGACTATTTTGCAAAGATTTCAATTAAAAAAAAAAAGGGTACATTTTTTATATTTAAAAAAAAAATCATGAGACATTCTTTTCTGTTACACTTTTGTTAACACAACCCCCCTCCCTATTTTGGCTTATTTTCCCCGCTACAATCAAACAATGTCACTAAACATAAACATCTCCATTTAACCCTTAATGTGGGTACTGAAACAACTATGATGTGCTCATGTAAACTAATAACTATTAAATAGTGCCATCTAAAGACGTTTAAACAAACAGGTTTTATTCTCTTTTAAAAGATGGCTACCTCAAGTGTGCCAAGCATAAAACAAAAGGAAATGAAATACCTGTAACAGTCTGAGCTGGCGTTCGTTGTCAAATTTCTCAATGGCTTCCCAGAACCACTGGATCACAGGATGTTGGTCATGGTAACCTGGGAGACAAAACAACATATTTTATTTCCTCAGGATAGAATTATTTGATTTAATTTAAATTATTTTTTAAAACTGCCTGGCCCAGATGCGTTCACAGCCTCTCACAGACGTTAAATCAAGATTTGGAATACGCCAGCAAAATTTATCACACACTTTAGAATACTTTTTAATTATTTGTTGTTTCCGGTTTAATAATGACCTGATCTGTAATCTGTATTCCTTCGCCAGTCACCAATGTCTATCTCAACAGTGCCAGCAATCACCAGCTCCAGCTCACGAGCATCAAAAACTGAGACAAGACGGGCATCCAGCACCTGTAACAAAAAGTTTAAAGCAATTAAATAGAAAGGGTCCTTGGAGAAAATGTATTGTGAGTTGTCAAGGGCCTAATTTCAATTAAATCTAATCACTAACAAGAAATCATGACCAGGAAAATTCGGCAACATCAGTTAGTAGATATTTTTAATATTCAAATTCAGTACAACATGAAAGAAGCTCTAAAAGGCCTAACTTACCTCGTGAAAGCCTCTAATTAAACTCTCAGTCTGTTCTGTCACTCCTCTCTCAAGCCTCCATTTAACCATTTTTTCAATGTATTCTTTCTTATTTCTCTCTGTCACAATGATATTTTTACCATTCGGCTTCAGCTCCCTTTCAGTCACCTGTAGATGTGGTTTAAGTAAAAAAAATTAAGTTAATGCAATAATTTCCAATTAACATTTAAGTTAATTTCCTTGATGCATTAAAATTTAACCACAAAAATCTTTAAAAATGCAGTAAACTTGGCGTAACACTTGATATGAATTTTTAAAAGTTTGTCACAAGGTCATACTTAAAGTTTTACTATCGGCCATGCATAAATGACATCACACAGAGAGGGGTGTGGTGAGAGGGGGTGTTTAGAATTTGTGATATTTTGTGATAAAAGTATACATTTTTTGTTACAATTTTACCGACAGAGTCCATTTAGTCTGAGAAAACGGTGAAATGCAGAATGTGTTTAGCTAAATTTGGATATTGTATGGATGATTAGTTTTCATACTAAAATAACTACTTTAGTGTAAACAGTGAATTTTTGGCTAATTAGTTATGAAAACAAGGTTTAAAATTTCTTAAATGCTTGAAAATAATTTATCTCCAGAAATTAATTTTACACCTGAGATCAAATTCAAGTTTAAACAGATAATTTATAATGGTTAACACAAGTGACAACAGTACAACTTCTGCCCTGTAATACCTGGCCAAAAACTTCTTCACTGACAGAAAATGTGAGATCCAGTTCCACTTCACTGATGTCATTGTCTTTGATCCACAACAAGCTTTGGTGAAATTCCATGTCAAGGGACTCGACATCTTCAAGTGAAAGTGGGCTGCTGGTATTAAAATTATAATTCTAATTGAACTTAATTTAAAAAAGAGTCATGAACAAATTACTTACCGTTGATTAATTTCAAGTTAAAATTAAATATACCTTTAGAATAGACAAATAATGTTACTTTTATGTATGAAAATATTATAACATAAGAAATTAAAACATGTTTTAATTTTTAAAATAGATAAAATGAAAGCATGGGATTGATTAAAAATAATTTTTTATGCATACACTCTGAGCAGAGCTTTATAAAATGGCCGAGTGAAGAAGGCATCAAGGAGATACTGGTGAACAAGTGCGAGTCCAAGAACACGACCAGAAAAACGAAACCTGAAACAGACAGACAATTCTTTTTTTAGATGGAAACTCAAAATACAAAATAAACTAAACAATCAAGAAAGCAATATCATCATTTTATTGCAAAATATTTCTTCACAGCTTTGCACAATGACTTTTGAGGAAAGGGTTGCATAACAAAAATTTTTTTTAAACATAACTTAAAGCTTTTAATTATAAAAAGTACCAAGAAATCTAACATCAAATTTAAAAAATCAATATAAATTTAATTTACCTGGTTTACACTATTAATTTTTCAACGTTTTTTTTTTCCAATAATTTTATTAAAAGTTTAACTAGATTTAAGATAATTACCACTCATGAGCATTTTCTACAAAAGTTGACAAGGGGCTGACTTGAACAGTATAGGTGTCATTGGCTGAGTACTCAAACAGGCCATAATAGGGGTTGAACAGTTCACGAGAAAGCAGAAAGAAAAATTCACGAGAAGGTCCCCCATAATCAAGGCTGAAACAAAATAAAATACAACTGTATCTCTGTATATGAAAATGAGCAACATTTTCAGTGCTGTAAAAATAAATAAATGCATTTTGAAGCTCAACAGATTTTATTGCAATCATTAGCTATAACAACCATTTATAAATAAATCAACATGGTTCCAAAGATGTAGTGGCAAATAAAGTCTCATTGCCCCTGTTGTAAAGAGTAAATTTGAGGACACAACATTTGTAATTTAAGATCTCTTCTGTTTTTGTGAGCTCCCCTGTCATTTTTGTCATAGAGTGTAATATCTTTACTCTATTGGGATCCACACTAATAAAGGGCCTGGTAAGAGCCCTGGGTCTATCATTTTACTAAATAGAAACATAAAAATGTATAACATATGAGGTTACACGTACCCTTCTTCTCCAGCAAATGTTATGTACAGCTTGTTTTTCTGGAGCTCTTTCTTTGGCGTTGACATTATTTTATTAAATGCATCCTCCAAAACATGGTCCCTCCTTACAGTCAATCTGTCGAGAAAATTATTAAAAAGTTAATAAAATTGTGAGATTGCACTATTATTATGTGCTGTAAAACCTTCCCGGTCTGCTTTAAATATTCAGCAATAATATATTATATTTTCTTGGGCATCATTCATCTTTTTTCACTATGATATAGTAATACGATGCCAAATAACCTTTAATTTAGGGCGTTTAATCTTTCAGGAAAAAAATTCAACTTACTTTAATTTTCCTGGACCCTGACCATAACCTTTAGACTCTATTTTACGGTAGAAACTCCTTAATTTGGCCTGGAAGTCTCTCTTGTATGGAGCTGGAACCCTGCCTGGAATGCGAGGAACTGGAGGAAAAAATATTAATGTCTAAACTAAACAAGGGTTTCACATAATTTACCTTTATAATTAAATAAACGTGCACCTTATGCAAATAACTAGTTTAAATCACATTCATTTAACTGTAGATAATCTCCATGAAATAAAATGATATGCCAGCTAAATTAAGTAAAAATCTCCCTCTTGAACAGATGACTCTCATCATCAATTCAATAATCAAAAAGTTGAACTAATTTTAACAACATTCTCTCAATGCCGTAAGCTGCTGAAAAACATGTAATATCTACATAATGGCTCTGATATATAATACTGCTTACAGTTGCAGCTTGAAATTAGATGGTTCATTTAAATAAATGATTAAATTCTTGAAGGGCCATTAAAGATAAATAAATATTCACAAACGGGCTGAAAATGTTCACAGGCATCAAGACTTACATTCAACCCTACCTGGTGAGCCTTGTGGCGACATAGGATTGGCTGCTTCTATCCTGTTGGCTATCGGCACATAAGACATAATCTCATTTTCAAACAAGCTGGTTTGGAGAAAAAAAAATCCTCATTATCAGGAAGAAATCTTAAGATGCTCTACATCCCCTTTTCTATCATATACTTTTAAATAAAAATAATACAAAACTGTGTTAAAATTTGGGAAATAATTTCTGACTCATATTTGATCAATTTAAATTTATAGTTTTGACACAGTATAGGTGATAGCACATAACTGTAAGAGGTCCATTCAATTTAGGTGAGACACATTTTTAAAAGCAAGTCACATATCTTGAGTGTCAGCTATAATTTCTAGATATTATTTTGGACATTTCTGGACATCAATAAAGATGACACAGTCAAGTTCTTAACTGAAATAGCTAGGTTGAAAAGAAATACTTCAGATGTCAGGACCATGTTTACATGTCAAGATTATGTGACATACCTTAATAAAAGTGTCAGATCTATGTCATTAGAGAATCGTTCCAGCATCTCAACACCTCTGGCTGCCACCTTGTTGACCTTCTCACGCAGACTGGAACTGGAGGCATATTGTGGACACCTTTCACGCAATATCTCATCAACATTCGGCTGACGCAGAAAGAGTACAACCTTTTCATTGTAGGCTGGGGGAATATTATTGTTGTTAGTCCTTATATCTTTGGAGTGTAAAAAAAAAAAAATTGTCATGGTGTTATGCATTCAATAAATTTTTCCTGAAGATCTGTCTCTTATTGTTTTAAAGTTGGTTGCACTCAAGCAAACCACATGATGCAAGCTCAGGTATTTTGTAAGGGAATAGTAACTCAACTTCTCCATTTAAGATTGTGTCTTTATGGGATGATAGCTAATTCATTTAAATTATCTTCATAATTACCAGTGGGTATTGCAGGGGGTGGTGGAGGTGGCTGAAAGTAGAGAAATAAGATTCAGTTTTAGATGGCATTATATGATATTATTCATTGGAAATAATTTACAATGAAAACAAAAGCCTGTTGTAGATTTTATTATCATTCAGAATGATTACAGCTTAATTGTGAAAACTAAATAACACAACCTACCCTAGGGGGAGGTGTCTGAAGAAAATGAGGATCAATCAGGGGGACATCAGTAGGAAGGCGAGGGTCCATGAAAGTAGTTGTACGCAGAACATGATCAATGAAGAAAGCCTGAGAAGTATATATGCTTTATTGAAGTTTAAATAATACATTTCCTTAGCTAAGATAATTTAAGAAATAAGTTTTGTCTCTAATGATGAAATAAAAAAGGTGGAGGGAGGATTTAAAGAATGTGCTATTCGTGAATTTTACTGTACCAGTTATCAAATATAATTTGTACTTTAGTAAAAAGAAAAAAAGATTCAAAACAATTTTCCTTGCTAGTGCTAGCTAGACAAGTTGTACTAAGGTGCTGAATAGTATTTAGAGTTATTGAACAGAAGTCTCCAAACATTACAGTGATAACCAGAGGAACTTACACAAAATGAAAGTGTTTAAACTGACCTTTCCAGTTTTATCATATTTCATCTCCCATCTCCTCGGCAACTCTTTGGATGTATCACAGAACAAGTTTACAAAGGCAACCAAATCTCTGTTGTGCTGGTACCTAGAAATAAAACAGCACTAAATTCAAAGCACAGTACAGGCATATTTAACCTAATTTAAAGACTTCTTATCGATAGTATGAAACAATGTTAAGAAACAACTTGACTTGAAAAAAAAATTAGAATAACATGTAAGTATAAGGAAGAATTTTTAATTTCGTTTAAATTACACCAGACATTGCTCTTCACATTCGTGATGCTTTGTAAAATATTTTCCTCACCTTTCAAATGTCTGTGGATCTCTTCGGATTTTTGTGATCATGTGTTTCAATTTACTGGTTCGATTGTATTCAACCATTGCATTCTAAAATATATAATTTTTATTTATTTTAAATAGTTCTCAGCAAAAAAAAACACGCAAAAAAAAACACGAAAAAAAAAAAAAAGGTTTTTTTTTTTTTTTTTTTTTTTTTAAAAAAAAAAAAAAAAAAAAGACATAAAAAAAAAAACCAACAAAAAAAACACGCAAAAAAAAAAAGACTGAAAATGTCTGACAAAATGGGTATCTATGAAGAAATTATTGAACAATAATACATTGCCCCAAATATTTTTTAGAAATATTTAAACTTCAAATTTCACATCAGTCAAAAGTCTACTAAAATATGCATTTATTAAAATGTACCTCATTAACTTGGAGCATGGGGAAAAAATCTGGTCTTGTGAGAAACTTAACAGCAGGAAACTTGTAAACACTTCTTTCAGATCTGTCCGTGGCAGGTTCAGAAGGACTAGCTAAACTAGGACTGTTATCTGGCACATTAGTGGCTCCTATGATGAAATAATATTAAATTGTACAAAATGTTAGTAAAGTTTCATCATAACTTATGATTTACTCTTACGCAATGCCAACTATTCATATTTGAATTGCTTTTTTTTTTAAATGTTAAGTAAAACAGATTCTATTAAAACCTTCAGTAAGGTGTGAGTTAATGCATTTTAAGAGTTAACTATTTGTGAAAATGAAGTGGTAAAAGAAACTTGCAATGATTTAGGAAGTTGCTAGTTCTTCTTACTTATTAATGCCTTTACCCCGTCTGGGGCATAGGTCATCTACAAGAATTTTCCATTCATCTCGGTCCTTGCATTCTTTCCAGTTGCTGCCAGGTGTATCCCATACTTTGAGTGTCTGTCTCTAGCTCACTTCTACATGTATTCATAGGCTTTCCTCTCTTTCTTTTTACATGTGGACTCCATGTTAGGGAATGTCTGGTGATGTTATCTAGCGGTTTTCTGAGAGTGTGCCGAATCCACCTCCATCTTTTCCTTGTGATGTCTTCAGCAATCGTATGTCATTTCCAGTAAGTCTTTGTTGGTGATGGTGTTTGGCCATTTGATGCTCAAGATCTTTCTAGGGCAAGTATTTATGAAGGTCTGCACTTTCTGCATAATGCTTGCTGTTGTTCTCCAAATTTCGACTCCATAGAGTAGGACTGGGATGACATCTGTGTTAAAGATTTCTGACTTTGTTTTGCAGAGTCAGCTCCTTTGACTCCCATATTTTCTTCAATAGCACAAATGCTGATCTAGTCTTTCCAATTCTAACCCTGACATCCGCTTCAGATCCACCATTTATGTCAATGGTGCTGCCTAAGTAACTGAAGGCCTCCACTACTTCCAGTGCATGTCCTGCCAGAGAGATGTGCTCTTAGTTGGCTGAGTTTACCTTCACGATCTTTACTTTGCTTATATTTATATTGAGTATAAGATGTGCTGAAATGGGGACTATGTCTTTAGTCTTTTTGTGCATTTGTTGGTGTTTGTGGGACAGAAGTGCAATGTTATCTGCAAATTCTAAGTCATTCAGTTGTACCCAGGGTGTCCACTGTATCCCGTTTTGTCTGTGGATTTTTTCATTATCCATTGAATGGCAAGGATAAATAGGAAGAAGACAAGAGACATCCTTGAGACTCCTGTTTCCAATCTGTGAGTCTTCCTTGGTTTACCAAACTGCATGTCATTTTTTTCATAAGAACTGAATGACCCTGACTAGTTTTCCTGGTACTCCCATATGTTTTCTAACAGAGGTTGCAGAATGTTGACTATTGTATTTACACCCGCTCTCATCATATTTGTTGTGATGTTATCCTGTCCTGATGCTTTCCCTATTTTGAGCTGCTTGATAGCCAGGGCTATTTCTTCCTCATTGCTCATACTTCACCAACTCATAAAACATAAACTTTCTTATAAGGATATTTCCAAAATTGAAATTATATTTTATCCATTCAAAGTCATTTGATTTTAATTCATTTCAACTTTCTGTTTCTTCTTTAGAGGAAAGCGTTTTAAATGTAAAAATGAATTAAATTCAACTCACCACTGGCCAAGTGATTTGAATCTCCTGAGGACACACTTTCTGTATCAGCTTGGTGATTTTGTTGTGTGATGGTGCGTCTAATACTTTGATATCTGTATTTTAACCAACAAAAACTAATTAGCCAGCAAAACAAATGTGTAAAATAGGGTTGACGTTTTAAGGTTCAGTGCTTTTCTTTATTAAAATATATTTGAGATAGATCAGCTTTGTTGAGCTCTACCATAAAGAGGTGCAAGACTTTGAAGAATATTTTCTATCTTTGGATTCCATAATATATTAAATTTGTTTAAATTACATAATGAATTTATTAAAAAAAACTACTTGATGAAATCACGCACAACACAACATGCATAAAAGGGTAGCATTATGAGAAGAAGAAAGTTTTTGCTGGAGATCTCAAATAATATTAATGGATAACATTTTTTTGTATTTGAAAAATTAGAATTGGTGACTCAAACACAGCACCACAAATATGTAAATCACCTGCGGTCAAGTTGTTGTCGCTGCTCAGAGCTGAGTGTTGGTCGACGTTGTACAGATTGTTGGCCAGTCTGTGGACGTTGCCATGTAGTTGTTCTGTTTACGTGGTCAATGTAGAAAATGCGACCATGACTATCCACTCTTGCCTCCCAGCCTGATCAAAAGTGATTGCCGAAATGTGGCATTATTGATCATTAGAAAATTTAAGCATTTTAAAATCATATAAGTGTTGTTATTATTATATTAGACAATAAAATGTCATTGATTCTACAAACCTGAGGGAAGAGCATCATCTCTATCATCTACTCTATGATATTTTATGGGTCTCTTTCGTGGAGGCTCACCGCCATCAGCACCTGCATACAAAAATGTAACAGTAAGTAATAGTTATTTATGTGGGAGAGCAGTTCTCCCTTTCATTTTACACTTGCATCAGAACAACTTTTTAAGAAATTAAAAGAGAAAATAAATGTTTAATTGCTTAAATGCAACAATCAAGATATTATGGTTGCATGATAAAGATGATTACAAACTTCAAAAAAGTAAAAGCAAAATCATCACATCATTATCAAACACTGCTATATAAAGGTTGTACATTACATTATAAATAAACTTTAAACATATAGATTATTGGATGTTTTAACAAATATGATCAACGTGTGCGAAGTCCAACAACTATTATGTATGCCACCAAGTTGTATAAATGTAAAAATATGCAGAAAGTTCAAATAAGATTTAAAAAATTATGTTCTAAATAACTCAATGACTGTTTTTAAAATTTACAAAAATGGCTTTTAAAGGGGTCTTATAATCCTGCACTGCACAAACATAAAATTATTTAGGAGATTTTTATCTAGAGGCATAATTAGCTTATATTTTTTATTTTTTTATATTTTATACTTTGTACCGCGCTTCGAGCCTTTGGGGATGAAGGGTGATTTTCAAATAAACTTTATTATTATTAATTAAAAAAAGAAAAAAGTTTAAAATTAAATTTTGACCTGTAAATTTTTTTAAGGTGCAAAATATTCCCAAAACAATTATGAGTAACATATGACTATCAATATCCAAAAAAAAAAAAGCTTTTTACAGAGTTATCGCAAACAAACTTTAAAAAAAAAAAATCTTAAAATCAACAACAATGTCCATGAGTTTAATAAAAATGATTTAATGAAGGGATAATGGTACACAATAAAAATATTTAAAATGTTTCCCTGTCATAGACTGCAAATGTATCAGTCATAAAGGTACATTAAGCATATGGTTGGTTCATCTTGATGAAATCAATTAAAAACTATTCTGTTGAGTAACCATGCAGTTTTATGTAGAGTTTATATTACCACTATTGGTAATCCAATATTCCATTATTCTCAAGCTGCAGAGCCAATTATTATCATGATTTGTTATTATATTTACAGTTAGCTGTGATCTTAATGTTGAGTTGGTCAATTGGGATCACATCCCCTTACAGTCAAATTTTCAAAGTTGGTAGATGAATTTTAAGATGGATAAGAAAAAGTAAATTAGCATTTCCTTGTATTCCACTTGGTCTTTTTTACCTAAATTAATGTCTGTTCTTGAAAGAATATAACTCAAGGGGATACTTCTGCAGTCGGCGGTCACCGTTATATTTAGGTATAAAGAATATTCGAGACAATGCGGTTCAAACTGCGACTAATTTCACAACATCCACAATAATAAATATGTTTCACAGAAATATGAAGATACTTTGAATCTCATCACACACATTTCAATTCCTATTATACTTTATATTACACTTCATATTATAATCTTTTACTTGAGAATGTTATTAACAAATCCTCATATAAGTCAATGGTTTCTATTCACTCTCCACCACTATTTGTTTTCCTCTTTTTTAATCCAACACTCTGATTGGCCAGTCCTCAAAAGTCCCAACAATATGTATATTATGGACAAGAATAATTAAGTTAATTACTTGTCTCCCATTTGTGGTTCACCTATTCATAATGATAACTGCGACAGCGACTACAACCACCTGATCATGGATCTCGAAATCTTCAAACTGATCAGTGCCCTATGAGTATGATTTACCTTAAAAATGATGCTAACCATTTTCAAACAGAGACTCTTTATACTCAAAATAACTTTTTTGTGAGATTCTAAAAATTGGCCACTATTTTGGCACCATGCTGTAGCAATAAAATGTATGTCAGCTTACACGGCAAATGAGAAAAACTTCTTAACTTACCCTGTATTCCTCCATCATGTGATCTGTCTCGAGCAGCTGGAGTAAGGGAAGTTGTTGGCACTTGACTGCTGCTACCACTGCTAGGACCAATAGCGGTATGACTGTCAACATTGTCGGCTTGCCTATGGCTGGATGCCCCTGCTGGGGGTGATGACCTGGGTTGTGGTAAGGGAGGAGACAGACGTTCACGGGCACTGGCTTCTTGACATTCGTTGAAAGATGGGGGAGATGACTGTTCATCTGGGCTGCTGGGTTTTGGCGTATTGGAGGTTTTCTTGCACTTCCGTGTCCATTGTTCCAGTTGTTGATTAATTTGTTGTCTATTTTGCTGACGCTCTTCTGAAGACAGTTGCCGCTGCCGTGGCTGCAATCGTGGCGGAACTAGAGCTTTGATTTGAGAGAGTCCATCTACACTTCTCCGTTTCTGACTGGCAACAGATGACTGTAAAGATCCAATAGCAGGGGGCTCACTGACTGTTGATAGAGCTATGCTGCCTCGAGAACCCGCAAGATCATCAATACCTGGCCGTGCAGACCCCCCATTATGACCAGCTGAGGCTGGAATTACTGTTTTGTCTGCCAATGGCACAAATGCGAGGTGAGCAGATGTGGCTGATTGATCCGTCCTAGAAATCAGTGGGTTAGGCCGAGTCGTTGACGCAGAATGATGCTGTGAGGTTCCAGGAACTAAATTAGGGGATGGGTGAGCGGCTGGAGATCTAGAGGAAGCAGCTAACGTAGAGCTCTGGGAAATTGGCGGTGATGGTGGCCCCCATGGAAACAACTCCTGCTCTCTCAGTGATCTTGAATCAACAATATGTATAGTGTCAAACACATCTCCTGCTTCTCCCTCTCGACACTCATTGGGACTGTAAGTCCGAGGAGGGAGTGGTGGAGGTGCATCATGGATTTTCCTCACATGATCTGTGCCATGGGGTGAGCTGGCAGGTGGTACCTTTTTAACCGGTCTAACGGCCAGGGGCCGGGGGGGCAGAGGAGGGGCTGATGTTTTCTGAATCCTTGGAGGCAAGGGTGGAGCCACCACTCTGTATGTTCTGGGTGGCAATAGGGGAGCATCTGACTTGAGAAAATTGAGACCAGGTGAGCCAGCTGACTGCACGGTCATGTCCAAGTCAGCACCGCTTATTGGCTCCACATCTACACCACCACTGGCTACCATTCCATTGGAAAGAAGAGGAATACTTTTAGATTGACCACTGTCAGATTGCACATTTTGAAATGACCCTGGCAGGTGACCACCATGTGGTTCAGAGGTGTCCCCTGAAGGTGTACATAACTGATTGTCTTGTTCAGCAGACTCACCTGAAGTCTCATTAGAACAAATCACAGACAGAGATGTCCCTGAGTCTAAGCTGTTTAAGTGGCTTTTAAGATGAAACTGTGAACCACTCTCAGTGTCTGGCAAACTATCCTGGTTTTTTACTATGTCCGCAACTGCACCCTGCTCAGTTTCATCCAATGAACTCGTAGCACTACTATTGTCTGTCTGAGTTAAAATCAAACTATTAGGGATAGGTTCTTCCTTAATACAAGACCTTGGTGATGGAACATCAAGACTGTTCATAGCTGCCAGGCCTGGATCAGTATGCCTGTGGCGAATGTGGGATGACTGTAGTGAAAGATCATCTACTCTTTGTAGAGGGCTGGGCAAAGAAGACTGACGGTGAAGGACACCATTGGCTTTATTTGAATCTGTGTCTAAACCTAACAGAGGAATACATCAAAGGAAATAAATATTTATATACTAGAAATAAGTCTCTTGTGGCGGCAATGTGTGAACTTCCCATCTACTTAAGTTACTTGACAAAAATTTAATCAATTAATGCAATTTATAAAAATCCCAATGAGTGCTATATTAAATTTATTTCTAATTTATAAAAAAATTTACTTCATATTAAAGAATATATATATTACATATAGGCAGAAGCATATATATTTTGCCACGTTTCAATTGATTCAATTTCCATTATCACTGTTTTTAAGAATCCCATTTAGAAATAGGACTTGTATCTTGCATGGCTAGTGGACACAAATTACACTCCTTTTAGTTCACTCTTTGGGCACTGTATTATTGCGCTATTAAACAGAGCATTACAGGCAAACACACATACGTCACTGTAGAATCTTAACTTGGGATGAGAATCAATCCTATTTACTTGCTCTGAATAGATAAGAGATCCCTCCTTTATTTTAGATATGTTGACCGAATAAAAATAAAATACTCTAATGGCTGCTTAAGTATAACTCTTTGAATAATGACACAGAAATAAAGTGATGTATTATTAACTTCTGATACATGAATAGTCTAATTTCTCTTAGATTTGAAAGTCAATTTACTTGTTCCTTATGGCTAATCTCCTCTTTGATCTTAAATACAATCCAAATTAGGTTTTGAAACAAACCATGACACAAGATGTAATATTTGGGTCTTTAATTCAAAATAGCACTTTCTTAGCAAGCCACTGCATTAAAAAAAAGCTTTATGATATATTAATAAAACTAATTTATACTTACTCCGCAACAATAGGTGTAGGTTGGCCTTGAATTCGATCGAACCACTCACATTATCAGAAGGACTTTTCCTCATGAGTTCTAGAGTAAACCTAGCTGCCCTGTGGAAATGAGAAGTTACAAATTCTAAAACAAAATTAATTAATTTACTGGCACCAGGCTAAGTTATCTGCGAAAATAATAAAGGTTTATAAAGGTTACTCCACACAAAAGGGAGCTATTTATTAATAACACCTTACTGACATTTTATTCTCAGATCATATATAAGTATTTTATTTTAAATGTACTTGATTTTAAATGTACTTGTTTCTTCAAAATATATTGATGCTGCAAGAACCTGGTAGAAATTCTGGGAGCATCTCCCTCATTTCAGCACATGAACAAACAGTGCATCCCATATATTATGATCACCTTTATCAGGGATCAGTTACTAAATATACAGATTCAATTTACACAACATTTTATGGTTCAATTATAACTATTGCCAAATGCATACTCACTTTTGCTCTGCACTTATTCGATCCATAATAGTCTGTAAAGGGATTGTTATACGCCCCAGAAATCTGGACATTGTGGGTCTGCTCTTACTAAATTTGTGTTTGACTTCAATTTCCAGAAGATCTGACAGGAAGACTTTCAAGGAGAATTTCTGAGGATTCACATCATTGTTTTAAGTATATTTGGAAAAATTACCACTGAAGATGAAAATAGATGTGCCGTTGTCATACTTTTTTTCAAAACCTAAATCCTAATTTTTATTTCTTTTAAGTTTTTGTTTGTTTTGAAAAGAAAATTTATTATATGAACTAACCCTTTTTTTCAACTTGCTTCTCTTATTTCATGACATTCGTTGCACAAAAATTTATTAACTCAGGAAAATCAATAAAAATACATAAAAAATGGATAGAGGAAAAGACTGAAAGAAATATTTTCTATCAAAATGATTTCCTTACCTGTGCTTCCCAAGAAGGGTTGGCTGTGTTAGGAACAACAGCTGACCGTTGTTTCTGGTAGTGATGCTCCTCTACTCTATCCCTTGGATTGTGTGGCAAAACTTGGAGTTTTAAATAAGGGTCTGGATTAAAGAACATGCCCTTTTTCAGGTTGTTAGCATGCACATCTGAGGAATAGATGAATAGAAATTGTATAAACAAAACTGTCTCAAGCAATTGTCATATACTAAATTATATAGTTTCTAACTAAAAGTAATTTTGAAATTAAAAAAAAAAGTAATGCTTTGCAGCATAATTTCAATAATTCAACTTAAATAAATTTTATATGCCACAAAATTATTGTTGTAATATTTAAACACTCACAAATATATCCTTCAAATGCATGCAATGTCTCTCCTATCTTAAAAATCAGTTCACAAGCACTAGGACTGAGCCAAGTACTGACCTTGAAATGCAAAGCATATGTACACCTTGCATATACCTGCAAAATAATGGAACCGGCCCCAGGTACAAAAAAAAAAATAATATCCTCTCATTTTCTAAAGTTTGTTCCAATCAAAGGGGAGAAATGAAAAGTGCATGTATAGAACCAGTACATCTTTTTTTACACAATTCTTTGTTCATTTCACCTGAATTAAATGAATAATAATAGAAAACTGACTAACGACTGGTGTGAAACTAAAAATTTAAACAAATTAAACAGCAAAGCTCTTGAAGTAATAATTTACATGTTGCGAATTTTTAAAAATTATTTGCATTTGTACTTTCTATATAAAACTAATATTTCATTGCACACAATGACTGGCTGATAGTCTAAAGTTGCCAAAATTTGTGTTTGCGTATCAGTATCTATGTTCCATCATAGAATTCAATGGTAACAATGTTATTTAACACTCCTTTATAAGTGATGCAATTAGCTTAACTGAAGGAAGATTAGGATGGCATCGACATGATATAAATATTTATCAAATAATATGCGTAAATTGTTATCAGAAAAATTAAAACTGCCACCAACCAGAGACTAGAAACAATAACTCATTTAGAGAGGCTCTGCTCCATGTTTGATTTTTGTTATATTTATGGGTACTCAACCTGTGGGTAATGATCCCTCTGGGACTGCCTGACATAATTGCTATTAGTTCTATTCATGCACTATTCCCATTAAACAAAATGAGAAGATAACTCTTTTTTTTAACACCCTGACCTGCCGGGCATTGTCTCAAAACAACCGGACTGGGTGTAAAAAAACTGCATCCTGCTCAGCCCTATATAGTAGTGCATATTTTTGTGAACTGATCTGTAAAACTTTTAAGAGTTTAACACCAATAAAAAAAAGAGATTCAGTTGAATATATTTTTTTAAATCTCATTTGACATACCTTCTAATGTTAAACGGAAATGTCCTTGGTCTACCGTAGTATCTCGTGCAGATAACAACTGTTTTGGTGACTAAAATGATAATATATTTATCATTAACTTACTTAATAGCTCAATGTAAGCTACATTAGATTATAAAAAGTGCATTGTCCTGGATGACTCTGTTAATGAGTAAATAATCTGGATTGCTTAAATATTAGAGACAGAGACAAATGATTTTTTCTATCTCAAATATGTAATTATATGCAAGCAATATATGAGCATTATCTGAAAGAGCTGCTGACGCCTTATGTACCCACTAGAGAGCTCCGCTCATCCGATAGTGGCAAACTCTCGACACCACGTGTTTGCCTTGAGTCTTACGGAAAGCGCACTTTCGCATTTGCTGGTCCACTAATTTGGAATGCCCTTCCTGTCGATCTCAGAAACAACCAGACACTGGAGTCCTTTAAAACCGATTTAAAGACACATCTATTTCGCAAACACCTTCTGGGATGATTGTCAACATTATTTTCCAGTTAATGCATAATGGCTGTGTTGCTTATGGTTGAAATGGCTAGAAAGACTTTGCCATTGTATGCTTGTACTTAGTTTTTGTCGTGTTGCGTTTGTTTTAAATGTGGTAAACTATAGATTTGTTTTTTGTTGACTTTGTACCGTGCTTCGAGCCTTTGGGGATGAAGCGTGTTTTTGAAATGAACTTTATTATTATTATTATTATTATTATTATTTTATCACCAACCTTTAGACTGCCATCCACCAGTGATACTGTGATAACTGGGCTTGTTGCAAGTACGTCTTCTGTGGTACCACTGATATACTTAAAGCACACAACTGTTTTTACTGATCAATGGAAATGGAGCATAATCTTTTCACAATGTTTTTAACCAAATTCAGCATTTAAATAATAATTATTTCCTATTAACAAAACCATTCTCCTTTTATCATGTAACCATGACTATTTTTTACTTCTAAAAATAGTTTTGGAAGAATAGACAATTTAATTATAGTAATAAAATAATTTTATTTTACATATTAAGGATAAAAATGCTATAAATCTGTAAAACAGATGCAATTTATAAATGTAACTATTTTTTAAAATATAGATTCTGAAGAATTTCATGGAAGTTTAGTTGTTTTTTAATACTTAAAATAAGAGAAATATTAGCAATTAAACATGATATGCTAGTAAAATGTAAACTTTGATTTCCCAACGTACGTTCAGAAAATAAGTGCTCTATTGCATCCAAATCCCATGTTATAGTCCCTCGTGCGCCTCCACTTGATCCTCTTGTCTTACAATCTAAAAACTTGGAGGTATTTGTTTCACCTTTAAGAGAGAATAGAAGCAGTTTTTTTAAGCTTGAATGTCACCTATTCAGAACCTATTGAAAAATGTAACAAGTTTTTTATTTAGTAATGCACTTATTATAATATTAAATATTATAAGAATTAATGGATATTTTTAATTTGCAAGTGTTTTTATTTTAAGGGATTATATTTAACCTCACCAGAGTTAAAAAGTCCTATCCAGTCCTGAGCACCCACATCTTCCTTGATGTCCCACTCAACCCTAACACGAGCATCATGACTTCTTCCAGGGCCTCTAAGTACAAATGCAGTTTTGTCTACAGACAAACTTGACCAGCTTTGCGGGCTTAGCATATTCAGGTTGGAATCACTATTACTCCGCTCTAGGATAGAACTATGCTCATTCCTAAACAATGCAGCTGAAGCTCCTCGAGGGAGGGACAGGTCATCAATTGAACTATAATCAGCACTCGCCCTTTCCATTTTTGCCATTATGATTTGACATTTAACGCAGTATTACTCTATAAGGCTTTAATTTATACTTGCAACTTGTTCAGATATTCAATCTCTTTCAGTATCCATACCTTAAACCTTTTCATCTGCAAATAAAAAATAATATTTTTTTTTTAATATTTTAAATTTAACATTTTAATAATCTTGTAATATATTTGTTAATATTTTTATTTATCACATAATTGAGTCAGCTTATCACAGTATGTGGCCAGCTTATGGAGCAGAATAGTTAACAGAGATACTTCTGACAACTAGTAATAACTGTAAAATACTTTACATGCAGAATTGTTTAGACAAATTTATAAATATATTAACTACAATTAATTCCATAAAAGGCAAGTGTTACAACTAACCAGGATTTGTACCTAGAGTTTAATAATTTTCAGATTTGTAAGCTTTGTGCAATATTTTTAAAGTGTTCTTAGCACATTTATTTGAAGCATTTATTTTCTATCTGGTCAACATGGTGCCTTATTTCCAAATCTATGTGGGGTAAGTGATGAAGCATAGAGGTCTAAAGTGGGAGAGAGTTAGGGATTAGAAGGTGAGATAGAAAGTAAAAGGTGATGGGAATGGGTCTGTTGCAGCTTGAGAGAAAGGTGTTAGAGGAGGGCGAGGAGATAAGGAAGGGGGACGAGAACAGGTTAGAGAAGTGGCTCTCAACCTTCCTAATGCTGCAACCCTTTAAAATAGTTTCTCATATTGTGGCGACCCCCAGCCATATATTTATTTTCGTTGCTACTTCATAACTGTAGAGCATATTCTGTTTACAGATGGTCTGAGGCGACCCCTGGGAAAGGGTCGTGCAACCCCTAAAGGGGTCGCAACCCACAGGTTGAGAACCGCAGGGTTAGAGTATGGTAAGAGGAAAGAAAGTAAAGAAAGGTGATGGGCAAGGGAAGGAAAAAAAGGCTATCAGATGATGGAAGAGGTTAGGGTTTGAGAAAGAAGGGTGGGGATAGGTTTGGGGAGAGTATAGGGAGGGTAGATATGGTAGTATATAATGACAATATTGAAAGGAGAGAAGCGAACTCTGCTTGAAGATTCAGCTCCACTACAATGCCATCCCTGTAACTGTCTGGTCACTGAATAAATAAAAAGGTTGCATACTAATCCAGACAAAATTTCCACTATGGCAAAAAAATGCATGTGAAAAAGATAGTCTAAGTTGGGTTTTCATTATTGTAAAATAACTTTGTTTTGTTTTTCTTCATTTTGTACATTTTTCTTACCACAGTGTGTAAATATAGCCACACATGTGTTTTAGTTGAGGGAAAAGAGCATGTACCAGGTGAAATTACGTGAGGAAAGGGGATGAAGGCATGTCATTTAAGCTTCTTGCCGCATACCTAGAGAGATACAATAAAGTAGCTTAGCTCGCCACAAAATTTATATGCTGGCTGAAATTAATTAAATTTTAATGTTTTTTTCTTATTAACGTTTCTCTCTGTCATTGGCTTAACCATTTTAGCAAGCATGTGTTTTTTTTTACACTGACACCATCTTGGTTGCCATGACCCATGATGGCCATGGGAAATATTATGACGCATATTGTGTAAATTTAACCATTTTTTTTTTACACAGCTGCCATCTTGGTTGCCATGACATGTCTGAGGCCAAATGATGAACTGCCTAATAATTCAGTGTTATGATGAATTTATGAGGTGCCTCGATCTTGCAAACAGTTAACAGCTCTAATAAAAATATAGATATAGGCCCTATGTTAAAGCTAAAATACATGATTGAAACAAATACAAATGACAACAGTCAACAGCAATAATTAACATTGAATGTGCAAACTACACTTAAACTTTGGCAAAATCTCTATTTGAATGCTTCAGTTTCAGAAGTTCAGATTTAAATTAAACTACCAAATTAAATATTTATATATATGAATATGAAAAAAATATGATGCTTACTTTGCCAGCATTTGCCACTTGTGAGTTAATACCTTAACTATGACTATGACTATGAACATGTCAATAATTAGTATTGGATACTATTTATAGCATAACACATCAATAAGGCTAAGAGACGTTAACTCATTGGTAAACTAAGTATGCATTATTATTAGTAGTAGTCGCTAGAAAGTGCTAATAAATCTCAGTAAAACCACAAAGTCAAGAAGATTGACGTCAACAATCAAAATGTAAAATTAGCTAGTTTAATTAGTATGAGTATGGCTAATTTAATTTGGTTGTTCGTTATTTATGAGAAGGTTCATATTGTAATATATATTAATTAGTTAAAACATACCGCAAACTGATATCCATAGGAAAGTACCTTCATTTTCACATTTATTTGGAGCTTCATCCGTTACATTCATATTATTATTCTCCTACTCGCAGAAAGCTTCCTGTTTCTGTTGCCATTTTGTGGATGTAGATTATTCTGACTTGGTAAAATATTATCGTTGATTTCTTTTAATTTAATAATAAAATCGCACTTTTAAATCCTAGCTACGGATACATGCCATAATTTTAATTGTTCTTTTTTTTTAAACATTTAAAATCTTTTTGTTAACACAAGCTTAGTAAATAAAGACTTCATTAATAATCGCGATGTTCCTTCATTCCCTAAAAATAAACGTATTAATTATTTTTTTTTAAAGTGCAGCTTTGCTAAAGTAAAGGGAAAATAATAATTAATTAACGTGTAAGTGTAGGCCTGTAATATCTTTCTAATTTTATTTTATATTACCAAAAATATAGTGTCAATATTCTTTCACCAACCCCTTTACCCTCTTCACTTGGCAATTATTATTTCACTCCCCATTCTCCTATGCCTATAGTATAGCAAACTCCTTCGAGGTCACCGACACTAACATCTGCTCCTCCCACCCACCACTTTATTTTCCTTGAGTGGGACGATGGATGACATCATATGTGACTGATTGTTAATTATGCAATGCGACGTAAACGATGCTTGGTAAGAAAAAAACTCACTGCATTCATCAATGATCAACCATCAAACGGAAAGACGTAATGGCCCGTGGACGATAATGTCCCACCATCTCCCACACCACTTATGTTGTGGCCCCGCCCTGCCCCTTGGTCACTCAAGTGCCTCTGTATGGAGAATTTATTGTTTCTCACTGTAAAAAAAAAATATTGCATTTTTTTCATTTAAATAAATGCCGTTTTAAAGCTAAACATGGCACTGTTAACCTGTTAACTTAAATTGTATACATAGTTGTTAAATCGTGTGTCAATCAGAATTCTTTCCGATTAAATATATTCGTGAAAAAAAAGCAATCAATATAAACACAGAGCAATTCGGCCCTGTAATTTTAAGATAGCATGTTTACGATTTTAGAAAAAAAAATTTTTTTTTTAATAAGTCAATCATTATAATTACGTTTTAGAATTGTAAAAAATGCAAATCAAGTTACACATTGCCTGCTGGAAGAGAGATTATTTTTGATGCAGCATTTCTCCAGAAATATAAATACAAATAGGCTATTATACGACTAGGCTACGGTATTTTAATTGATTAAGCAACATTTTAGTAAGGTAATATTGCTGTAAGTCTACTTGCTTAGGGCCTACGCATCTTGTTAGTTTTTTTTTGTTTTTTATTGTTTTTTTCTTCTTCTTTTTTTTTTTCCCTTTCTTTTTTTTTTTTTTTTTTTTTTTTTTTTTTTTTTTAAATTTTTTTTGTTTGAATTTCTTTTTTATGAGACTCGTTTTTCATTTTGTAACAATTTAAAAATATGTATTGTAAAACTGAGGTTTCACATGAGTTATGACCACGGGTCAAAAGAACAGGAAGAGATAATTCTAATTATAATAAACATGTTGAAGCATAAAGTTGTGAAATCCACGTACAAAAGATATGTCCCGCCATCTGTAGCTGTGTTATTTAAGAGCAAATAAAGGCTGCTTAAATTGTGGTGAGGCATCTCTCACCTGTAATAATGTTAAATACTTTTGTGGTTTTATAGTGATGACCATTGGTTTTGTTTAAAAATACACCTTCTTGATGATATGATTTGGATTAACTTAGTTATAGTTTCAAATTCAGTAAGGATATTGATGTATTTGCCCTGATTTTTTAGATAAAAATATAATTATTTTTATTGGTATGAAAAATGAAAATTAATGTTGACATTCAATTTCAATGGTCTGATTTTATTGTCGTACATGAATTTTTAACTCTTGAATTGCATTTAAAATTATGTACGAAGGATTGTTTATTTTATTGCAGTATATCATAAATCTGTTTGATTTTCAGTGATACCTAAATAATGTTTTTTGATAAGGACCATTCATATGGCTGAAGGTCTCTTCTTGATGTAATTCATGTAAATTGTGTGTGTCTGGTGACGATTTAACTCCGTTAGTTAAATCTGAAATGAAAGAGGGGGGATATGTCGAGTATGAGCGTTCATTAGGAATTGTTGCGACTCAATATTATGTTTATTAGTTGTTGAACGCTTTTCCCGCGCTTGACTATTATAGTTAGTGAACGCTCTTCCCGCCATTGTCTCTATGACGTATTTTTATGCTGAGTCGTGACGTATTGTCTATGCAGTATTGTGACGTATGTTTTAGTCGTGCGGCAGTCTTGAGTGGAACCTTGGAGTGATAGGATGTTTATTATATTTACTTAGATATTAAAGTTATAGTTATTATGAAAAGGAGTTGAGTTTGTTAATTGATAGTGAGAATAGTACGACGCTTCAACGTATGAAAGAACTGACGAATGTAATCAATCCAAGAAGACGTTATAGGAGTTGACATTCGTGACATGAAGCTACATTCATCTAAATTCTGAGAAATAAAGCTTTCCATTGATACCAAATACAATGTGGTCGGGCGATTCTAAGTACATGTTATATTTCTAAAATGCATTAACCTCCTGACCTTCAGATAATTTGTTTTTGTTATTGTCATTGTTATACTGTGGACTTATCTTAACAAGAAGAAATCCATCGTGGAAGTCGGTGGGAGGTGGGGTGACACCATGAGTTTACTGCACCGGCTAGCTACGCCAATGAGAAGGTGAACTGTGAATTCTAACATATTACTTTATCTTCTCGTATAGGAGGTGGATCATAGGTTGCGGTTGAAATATTAGGCTCAGGCCTAGTATTTAAAGTGGCCTCAAATTACATGTGGACTTGTCAATAAAAAAAAAGGCTGTTCAGCCCGCGGCCAGCGAACTGATTTTAAATGGCCCGCCACAGCTTGAGAATTAGTTTATGACGTTTGTAAAAAAAAAAATAGAGTGAAAACCATATTAATTGATTTAATATTATTGGGAAATCGTGTGAGAGCACGAGAGAATATGTAACATGGGAAATGAGGAGGCTACAAGAGCTAAAGAGTAGGATGACTTGACAGGCGGAAGTTATTTATTTTAAGCACAACAGCAGATATACATTTTGGGAAACTTGTTGACATAAATTCAGATATTATCTATATACTACTTCTTTCTGTTGCTTGCAAGGTGGATGCGTCTAAGGTTATCCGGTATAATCACTAACAGCACTGAGAAAGATGAATAAGGAAACCAAAATTAACTTGATGTGTGTATCTATTTGGTCTTTGTAAACATTTCCATTACCAATTTAGAAGAAATAGATAGGTGAGCACCGCGAGTTAACTACCGCGCTTTGTGGGATGCTAATAATGTGACAAGAAAGTCTTTCGATCAGAGTCATTGAGAAGGGAGTTGGGATACTAAAGGTGTCATAATTGAATGACTAAGGTTGGTTGTCTTGAACTATTTATGGTTCCATGTTATTTAAACAGGTAGTCTAGCCAGGTATGGAAGAGTGGGTGTCCATCCTGTAGTGTTGTGACGTTGGGGACAAGTACCTGGTATTCAGAGATCTGAGTCTGAGATGTTCAATAAAGAAAGCACCAAATGGTCTGCGTTTGTTTGTCGTCAGTGCAATGCATTTAGGGGGGAATTGTGAGAAACAGCTGGAACGATTATTGAAAGTAATTTTCAAACAAACAAATAGAATTCATGGCCAAATAAATTATGGATGATGTCATGGTTTTCTTCTAATCTGACTGACCGGACTCAGCGTATTGTAGTGAAGCAGGCATCTTCCATGGGCACTTCCGTCACCTGCGGTGTACCACAGGGCTCAGTTTTAGGACCTATTCTATTCTCCGTGCACACTTGCCAGCTCGGCAAAATTATTGAAAGTAATGGTATTTCCCGCAAAATATTTGGGGATGGCACAGAACTATACAAGTTTTTCCACCCTGATCCCTTGGATTGCGCAGCTGCTGTTCAGGCTATCGGGGACTGCTGTCTTGCTGTGAAGGAATGGATGTCAGCAAACAGACTAAAATTAAATAACGATAAGACTGAGGCAATTATTTGTGGTTCAGACTCCAATCTTCGGAAAGTTGCCATCGCATAAATAAAAATTGGTGAATCAGAGATCCCGTTGTCTTCCACTTTCAGAGACCTTGGCTTATATATTGACAGTAAACTTAGAATGATTCCCCATCTCAGTTATGTGGTCAGGGCATGCTTCTGTCATCGCACTCTGGGTCAGCTGCGTCCTCAACTCAATAAGAGGACAGCCAATGCTGTAGCGGTAACTCTAATCCAGTCAAGAATAGATTACTGTAACAGTTGTTTCTGGGGCTTACCTCAGAACCAAATTCAGAGACTCCAGAAGGGTACAAAATAATGCAGAACGCATTGTATCGCGGATAAAGAAATCTGACCACATCACCCCAGTTCTACGAGATCTCCATTGGGTTCTTGTGAGTGAACGCATTAATTACAAAATTCTGTCCCTGGCGTACAGCTGCATAAAAGGCTCTGCACCGGAATATCTTAAAGAACTGATTTATAAACATGTATATAAAGAACCCGCGGTCTTCAACACAGAAAAAAGTCTTACGGAGTGCGCTCCTATCAAGCGATTGCGCCAAAATTATGGAACAGTTTGCCTCATCTTTGAGGGGAATCGAACATGATAAAAGATCATTTAAGAAACATTTAAAAACTCTTCTGTTTAAATAGATTTAAATAAACCAGAGCATAGTCAGCATGCTAAAGTAGCATGGATACCAGCGCTACATAAATATCCAATCAATCAATCAATTAATGTTTCCTCTGATGAATTTCCACAATTAATGAAATGTTGTAACAAATTTTAAATATGTTTTTTTTTTTTAAATCACCCCACATGAGTGAAGCTTGATTCTCTTAAAAGACCAACATCAAGGCCACAAAATCAACGTCTTGACTGGTGACCATTTAGAACATCTACTGAGGGCAAGTTCTACTGATAACTACCGGTACCTCAAATTATGAAAATTTCAAGTACAATTCAAAGCAAAAAATATCATTAAAGTGGTTTTAATTTTTATTTGCTTTCTTTATATTATCGATGAGCCGATAATGCTATTGGATATATATTATTAATATTGGTTATATATTAATAATATATACATAATAATTGTAAAGCGCTTAGAGCTGTAAGGTAAGCGCTATACAAAAATGCCTAAGTAAATAAATAGGCTATATGATTATTTATACATAAGGTAAGAAGCTCTAATAATGAAAATTTTGTAAAAAAAAAAAAAAAAACCTTTCTTTTGAGATTTCATTTGTGGTCCTCGACTTCGTGGAGAAATTGTTTGGCGCACATACTCAAAATGGATGGACAGCACTGCGTTACGCAATAGAACCATATAACTTAACCGTCTAAAATAATATGTCAGCTTATTCAAATTAAATATTGAATTTGATATCATACAAATTCTGAGACTAACAATATGCAGGGCCGTCTTAACAGCAATGGTGGCCCTGGGCAGAGCAAAGCACAGAGGCCCTTATTTTCTCTTAACTATTCAAGGGTTAGGAACATTATTTTAGGCAATTTTTCGGCACATGTGTTATGAACATTTTTTTCTTTCAATTTCATCTTGTAGAGGGGGCATAGATTTTAAGTGTTCAGAAAGGGGAATGGGGCTAGGCATCTATTAGTATCAAAATTGGGGACTATGTAGCCCAGTACCACCTATGACTCAGCATCCCCACAATACATAAACATAAATTTATTCCTGTTGTGGCAACTTTTGGGGCTTTGCGTTTGACCCCCAGTTTAGTTGTGTCCCCTGGAATCTACATAGTCCAAATTTAGGCCATATACCAAACTAAAGGAAACTCATATTTTTGCCAGTTCAAGAAAATCATTTTAATTACTAACATCCAGTCACTAAATTAAATTAGCGATATCTGCGCTAAATGCAATTCTTAAAACTAGACAAGTAGGCCTGCGTTTGGCGCCTATATTTTCTTTTATTTTACGCACTCCCCCCCCCCTGGATTGATTGGATAAAAAATTTGTAGACAAAAAGAGACAAAAAAATTATTAAAGTAAAGAGAAAATATCTACAGTAAATTAAAACTACATTAAAACATTACTAAAAAATTTATTGCCCCCCCCTAGAAAGTTAATCGATTTTTTGCCCCCCCCCCCCATAGAAAGTTTTCTGCTGGCGCCCATGGTTCGGACATAAGAATATTAATATCGTTCAGGGGCGTGAAAACAGTGTTCGGTTCCGAACTAATTTGGATTCTTATAATTATGCGTTACTTGAGTTGATGTTTTATCAAGTAACTTTAGTAGATCGGAAAGTCACGCATTGCGGTCGCAATTGTTTGGCGGTCTATATAAAACATGACGGTTTTGTCACTTTGATTGGGGAGGGAGCAGAAATCGTGGGCACCCGAGCTGCCGTGTGAAAGTGGTGGGAGCTGTCTGGGGAAGGGCCTTTGAAACCCCATCCCACCGAAAATTTTTGATAAATTCAAAATGCAGGGCTGAATTCAGTTTTTCCGATTCTTTTGAGAGCAGGGTTTGAGATACGTAGACCTACTTTTAAAGCAAATTAAATTGTCATATTAATTTATTCAACAGTATGAACTATGCTCAGCGTGAGGCAGAGGCCCCTAGATCAATTAGATGCAATACAAAAAATAAAATAGTTTAATTTGTTTACATTTTTAAAATAATTGTTTTCTTCATTTCTCAGATATTTGTGTTCTTGTTGATGATAATATCGACTTCCGAAGAAAGGATTCACATTGACTCCTTAATAACAATAATAAGCTTTCGTAAGGTACCTGAATATTGGACCAAAATGTTTTGGTATATATAAAAAATTTGGAAAACGGATGACGGAACAACAACAAATCGGCCTGGAAGGGCGGGAGTCTATTTGTGGTTTTGATCACATTAAAATATTTAATTAATATACATAATATATTTATTACTTTACCATGTTGCATGAAGAATCACACATTATTCCACCACGTCAGGGTGACGCTTTAACTTATTTAAGAACCTGTAATGCTCTGGATCGCCTAAAAAACTCGATATGTTGTCAGAAATGGTAGGCCTAGCTTAGTAAATTTAGTTAGTTAGCTATACTATACTTATAAACTTATAGACTATACTACTACTAAAATAATGGCAATCAAAGCTGATTCTGATGCCTATACTATTACTATTACTATTAATACTCCCATTGGCATTAGGTTATTACTATATATTTATATATAGCGATACAAATCAATACAACTATTTATTTTAATTGCCATAAACTTTAAACCAGTGGTTGGAAAATAGCAGCTCTTTAGTGACTGAGTGCGGCTCGGCCAGTAAATTGGTTTTAACTAGCAGGTGCTGGCAAGTGGGTGTTGGTCGGGCTGATGTAGCACGGAGGTCCAGTGTATGTTGCGCGGAATTACGTGGAGTTACGTGAAAACACAAGTTGGCTGGTTTTGAGTTAGCGGTAAGGCCCATGATGTGTTCCACGATATATAGATCTCGGAGGTGCCACCAGCTCCATTTCCGTCTAAAGCGCCGTCTACAGTGCCATACGAAAAGGATTTCGATGTTGTTATTTACAATTACATGGTGCAACTTCTTGTTTTCTTATTTTATATTTTTTGTTTTAACCGGGGAGGGGTCTTTTGTTTTAACCGGGGAGGGATCCCCCCTCCCCAAAGAATTTCTATATTTTGGTATTTGAAGCAAAGGGAGGGGTTTGGGAAGGGGTCTTCCCTCCCCAGTTCTTAGAAGATCATTCCAAATGCAATTTAAGCAGTAGTCTTCCTTTTGTTACCAAAGTTTAAACATATGGGCATGGGTAATTTGATTTCAATTTCAACTACTATGCAAAATACAGCAGTTTTGGCGGGCATAATTTTTTTCACCGGTCTTGGGGTATCAGCAAGGATGTGTTTCTTTTTTCCTTCCTTTTGAAACGTGTAAAGTGACTTTAAATACAAATTAATGGAAAGTTTCATTTCAATATACTTCATATTAACCCTATTGTTTATGATGCGATTTATGCTCAATAAAGAACAGAAATGTTATAACACATATATGGTTGTCTTTGTATTTGTAATTTCATATGCACTATGTCTATGACTATGCTGCCTGTGCCTTCTCTTCTACTTCGACAAATAAAAATTATATTTATCTTATCATTTAGGCCTATTTACTTCACAAAATATCTAGTATTATCCACCCCATGTCCACTACTGAGTACTTGTAATATACAGAAAATATTTACTAACATTAGACTACTTTCATGCCCGCCAGATATTTTGCAAGAAGGGTTGGTAGGGGTTAATTAATTAGCCTATAAATGTGACTTTTAGTTTATTATTATTCTTTCGTAATACTTGTTAGTACTTTTAGTCACCTGATCCCTTTAGCCGACATTGGTTGGCTAATTCCAATTACTATATTGATGGAACCAGCTTTTTAAAAAAACTACAAGAGAAGTGATAAAGATTTACTACACCAATTCTAATTCTATCATCACATTCATGGGCTGGTTTAAAAAGAAATCCTACTTTCAGCTTTTATTAAAGTGGCTTTTAAAATGATGATTTTGACACATTGGCACCATGCATAATTATTAGAACACACAGACTTCATGCAGAGTAAATCAGTAATAAGATTAGGCCTGTTGTTAGATATTCATTTAATTTATACTTACATTATGTTAAGGGAATCCTTGACCCTATTCCCTAACCCTAATTCCTGACCCTATTCATTGACTCTATACCCTCACCATAATCCCTATTCCCTAACCCTAACAACTTTTAAAACTTATTTTTTTATAGCTTCAATTTTTGTGAGGAACTCTTTTCTTTAGGACAGTGTGAACATCGGCTCTGTCGGTAATTATTTTTATTTAGTATTTTAGTTACCGGTATGTCAACAAAATATCCTGTGACTAGTTACAGGTTAATGATTTTTACTAAAAGTACTTTAAAAAATATATTTAAATGCCTTTAAATTATAAATGGCCTCATAATGTCGGCTCTATTTTTGGTAAAAAAAAAATTAAAAATTTAATATAAACAGTACACATTTATTTTTGTCCCTTTATGTCTACTTATTTTCAAGTACAAGTATGAAATAGACCTATTGCAGAGAGGTGATTTTTTTCTTGTTGAAATTTTAATTTTCATACTTGCTATGGATAAACTTTAAATAGAGTGAGGTGTGATGTAAAGAGACACAATAGAGTGAGGTGTGTTGTAAAGAGACACAATAGAGTGAGGTGTGTTGTAAAGGGACACAATAAAGTGAGGTGTGAAGTAAAGAGACACAATAGAGTGAGGAGTGTTGTAACGAGACACAATAGAGTGAGGTGTGTTGTAAAGAGACACAATAGAGTGAGGTGTGTTGTAAAGAGACACAATAAAGTGAGGTGTGCAGTACAGAGTCTCTTATCTCACTCCACACATGTAAAGGGAAACAATAAAGTGAGGTGTGAAGTAAAGAGACACAATAGAGTGAGGAGTGTTGTAACGAAACACAATAGAGTGAGGTGTGTTGTAAAGAGACACAATAGAGTGAGGTGTGTTGTAAAGAGACACAATAAAGTGAGGTGTGAAGTAAAGAGACACAATAGAGTGAGGTGTGTTGTAAAGAGACACAATAGAGTGAGGTGTGTTGTAAAGAGACACAATAGAGTGAGGTGTGTTGTAAAGAGACACATGTGTGTCTGAGACACACATTTTTTTCTTATTTAGGTAAATGTTGCTGTATTTTTTAAAAAGAATATAAATTTTACATTACACATTTTTTTCTGCAGTCTGTGTGCCAATAAATGTCATGGGAAATCATGTCCAGTTTGTTCAATGCCATCACGTTTCAACCAAGTTAATATTGATAAACAACTCTCTCACATGGCAGCCCTTTGTATGCAGATGTCAAACCTATTAGATGGTAATTATAATTTACAGCCTTTTGAGATAGAGATCATATATTTATGAAAAGAATTTGAAGATATAGTTTTTAACTATTCAGAAGCAGGGTTATTGTGAAATTTAAATTTGCAATAAATGGTTGCAGTATGTTATATTATACTTTGAAGTCATAGCAAATTTTAAAAAGAGAATAACAATCAATAACCTTCACATAGTTAAAATTGCTGAATATAACGTAACATGCACTCACTGTGAAAAATATAATAGCTATAACATTATCACTACAATTATTTTACTGCAGCACAGTTTTGACTTCACAGTTCGTGCTTGAAAAATTAATGTACTTGCTTAAGCCTTTTTTGACAAAGATTATTGAGCTAAAAAGGGAACTTATCAAAAGTCCTTTTTTTCTTAATTGGTTTTTAACCAACTAATCGCCTAACCTATTTTGGACAAAATGGGCTCTCCTGCCTAAACTTTTAGATATGACCCCATTTTAAAGTATATAATATGTTATTTTTAACAAAATTAAAAAATAAAAAAAAACATGAAATGTCATTGTTTATATTTTTATTAAATTAAGTATAGAAATGAATGAAATTTTATAATAAAAAAAAAATATAGCTAATTAAATTAGAGATAAACTTTCAGCTAAAATCTATTATTTATATTAATTATGGTCATTATGGCTGATATATCAACTATAAGATCATCACTTCAACTTTCTACATTAATTTTTAATAAATTCTACATCCATCAGTTTGATTTTGTTCATCTAAACTTCTCAGTCAAGTAAACTTAGCATGTTGTCACATATGAGCTTGAAATCAATGCTGAGCTTTGAAGTCTCGTAACTTTTAATGAAAGAATATGAAACCATCCAGATTTTTTTTTTTTTAAAAAGCATCAGAGTAAATTTTTTGCAGACGAATGTATAGTAATTGAGTTGCTAATCACCCCGAGCAAGTGTCATATGTTACAATCCGCCCGACATGTGTTTTAGGCAGGCATTATTGCCAATTTTGGGAAGCAGCAGCGGGCACTAATGGCAGGAGAGGATTAATTTCTAGTTTTTGTCAGGATTCCTTCTTGATGAATCATAAATTTATTGGGTGTAAAGAGATCTCTTTCTTAATCCATTAAATAATTTTTATTAGGAAAATGTTTGATAGCTGAGAAAACAGATTGTGATGCAACACTAGAGCAGCTCCCAGCCCAGCAGGATAACACAACAGAAAAAAACACTAGCCAGCAAAAGGGAAATAGTAATCAGAAAACCAAAGTTCCAAAGAAGGCGATGATTAAACCAACACCTGAAGCTCAGTCCAGGGTTAAGCATAAAAATGGTAAAAAGAAAGAATTATATTCTGTTAAAGAAAAAAATGAACCAGCAACAAAATTTGCAAGCAAGCAAAAAATGAGAACAGATGTGAATAAAACTGAGCTACAGACTTACAGCCCTTCTTTATGCTGTGATAGAGCTGAAAAATCAGCAGCAGAATCACGTGGTGAAACATCAGTTCTAGAAAATAACCTTGAATCATCCTTTGAAAGCAAAGAGCTTCTCAACACATCTGCCAGTAGCAATAAGAGAAAGCGTAAGTCATATCTGGCAAAGCGAAATGCTAAAGGAGAAACACCATTACAAGTAGCAACGATTAAGGTAGGTCCACTTTTTCAAATTTTGAAGAAGAAAATTACTTTGGCTTATGTGCTTTGTATTTCATCCCCCAAAAATTGTGCTTTTGATCCACTTAGATACAAAAAAAGGTGGAAAGTCTTTTTTTTAAAAATAAGTAAACCTTACTGTGAATTGCCATGAACAGAATCATAAGAAACAAATAAAAGTTTATGTCATTTTCAGTGACTAGGAGGATGATATTTGTTACTGTTAGTAATTCATTTATATTTGTTTACAGTTTGATGTAGAAAGAGTGACAAAACTGTTGGAGGATGGAGCCAATCCTAATGTCAGAGACTATGCTGGCTGGACACCTTTGGTGAGTCATACAAAATGCTTAGTTTATTGTCATATTAATGCCTAAGATGGCTGAAAACAAAACCTACCTATCTTTCAAAACCTTTTTTGACAGAACATTTTTGCTTTTAGGCTTAAGTAAAGGAAGGCTTTTATTAAACTCTTAGGATTGTGATATTTTGCAAAATGAGGCCAACTTATTGAATAGGAAATCTTCTCTAGCACGAAGCAGTAAACCATGGCAAAGCTGAACTAGCTGAGCTGTTGATAAAATATGGAGCATCTGTGAATGCTCCAGGACTTAACAATGACACTCCACTTCATGATGCTGTTAGCAACCACCATATAGATTGTGTGAAACTGCTTGTTGACAAAGGGGCAAACACCCAAGCAAGGTAATCAATTATGGTATTTTTACATTTTGGGCAAGGTGGATATTTTTTTTACATTAGCATTATTGATATTAGCATTCATCATAAAGATCTTTTAACATTACTTATTCATTTAAATATATAAAATAAATATTGTTTTCAATGCAGAAATCTTCATGGCCGAACACCTCTAGATATTGCTGTGACAGATGAAATAAGAAAAATTCTATTTGAAAACACGACATCCATAATTCCCCTTTCCATTAATGCAGAGGTTTGTGGTACTAAATTTAATTGATTTCATCAAATAATTTAAAAGAAAAAGAAGATTATGTTTCAAAATCATATCAAGAGCTTGGGAAAAAAGATTATCTTACTCATGAAAATATATCAAAATGAAATCAGATGTGGAGAATATGTTCATATCTTTATTTTCTGGAATATCATCTAAATTCCAAATGGTATACAGTCTTTTTCATTTTCCAACACTTAAAATATATTTATTTGCATTAAACTGTTTAAAAGCGTGGCTTTAACATTAGCTTAAAGCATGGATATAACATTGGCTTGAGGTTTTATGCTAAGTATTTATATCAAGCAATAACCAGGTCATCAAATTTTGCCTTTTAATCTCTGCATCAAATCCAAATCTGTTTCATCAAATCTGCTCACAGGTTAAAGAAGTTGAGCAATCTTTGTATTTTATGGGAACTGCCTTGTCTAAAGACCAACAATTATTGTTAAAAAGGTGTGCCACTTTCCTCCATGCTAAAATTGTTGAAAACTTCAGTCCAGAAGGTTGGTAGCTTTTTATGTGTTCATGAGCTGTCAACAATGCTTTTTTTGCAAATAGTGTAATCTAAAGGTACAGTGGAGAACATTTCCTTTTTTTTCCCCCTTACAGTGACTTACAGAAGGAAATTTAACAATAACAAGCAAATCACTTTTAATATTGATCTAACAGGATATACACTTTTTTTCTCTTCATTTCTGTTACTTTTATTTATATTGCCTAATTTTCAAGTATGTTAAATGAAGATTCTTAGTATTATGTATCAAGCTAAAGGCTTGGTATCTTTATTAATTAGTTTACATTTTTTGACACTTGCTTTTGTAAATGCATACGTTTTTAAAAAATTCCAGTTACACATTTGGTTACTGGAGTAAATGCTGAAGGAATGTGTCCCAGAACTCTTAAATATTTGCATGGTGTTTTGGCGGGTAAATGGATTGTAAGCACAGATTGTAGGTGGATTTTTTAAAACCTATTTAACACTCATTGTTCTTAAACTTAATATATAATTAATTTAAGCTATTGCATTAATTGCAACTGATAACATATTATAAGTAGGTACTTTAAATGAAATATTTATAATGAAATTAAATAATGTTTAACGGCTGCCCCCCCCCCCCGCATGGAGGTAGGCTTCATCAGAGAAGAACTTACCAAATTAACTATGTCATGTATCTTAAATTTTCAGAAAGTTATGATAAATTAAAAAACTATGTAGTAAACTTACCCATTCCTCTATTCATACCATTATACAAATTGGTTCTAAGTATTTGACTGTATTTTTCACACAAAAATATGTAAACAAATTAATTTTTTTATATCAGGGCTAGTAAGTTGCATAGAAAACTGTAATTTGATCTCTGAAGACAAATTTGAAGTGAAAGGTTGCTGCTCAATGAAAAATTCACTAGGACCCCAGAAAGGCAGATTAAATAGGCTTCAGCAGGTAAGCTAGACCATAATTTTTGTATCCAGGTTATCTTGTAATACTTGTACAAGAAATTTGTCACATATCAAAATATCAATAACATAAAAATGGCTTTTAAAAAAAAAAGGTTTTAACATGTTTTTAAATCCCATTTATTCTGCTAAAGCAATAAAAAGAAAGTGAACCTTAAATTTAAGGAATAAATGAAAGCAATTAGTTTTCTTTCAAGTCAGTTGGATTATTTAAAACTTTTAAAGAACTTGGAATGTTATATTTTTAAACTTGAAAGTATATTTCCATTTAAATCACAGCATAGAAATTTTTTAGGAAGTAGATTAATTAACTCTTTGCTCTCTCTCTTTTTTTTTTTTAAAGCTTCCTGGTTTGTTTGATGGCTGCCAGTTTTATTTTCATGGTAAATTCAATTCACCCACACCTTCACGAGAGGAGTTAGTGAGCCTTGTAAGACTAGGAGGGGGAGTTCTCCTCACCCGAGAGCCTCGACTCTATAACCTTGATGATTACCCATATACCATCCCTTACCATGCCTCAGGCAGCAGCTCTTTGGCAGATTGTGCCATTTTTGTTGTGTATGATGATCACTGTCCTAATCCACCATACACTGAAGCTCAAAGAATGTCATATCTCCCAGCCTCTTGGCTTTTAGACTCTGCTGCTGCATTTACTCTGTTGGATAAGTTTTTGTACTTAAAGCGTTGATGGAGCTTTGCCCAACTTCAAGACATTTATATTTTACAGCAAGATTTAAAAAAGACTGGTTCTGTTATAATAGTTTATAAATTTGTGGGGCATATTTAATAAGAAATATTGTCATATAGGGTTTGTCATATCTAAGATCGGAAAATTTCACATCGCATTACTCAATGTTACTATTTTTAGACAAGGTTTTTGTAAAACATAGCTGTCAGCAATGAATTTCTGCTTATTTATATCTAGTAGTAACAATTACTTATGGCAAAACGGAATACCTGGATCTTTTATTATTATCATTCCGCCATGTAATAACATTGGCCAAACTGAATGTTCTTTAGTAGATTCCGGCATTAAATGACAAACCCTATACTTTTAAATTAAAATCTTTAGTAGTTAAAAGATTTTAACATACTTTTTTATATTCATTTACTTATACTGGCCTGTCAACTTTGTGGATTGGATCCATATTAAGATTATTTAAGTATATAATGTATTTGTCCATACATTGATGGCTTGATTAGCCATTAAGATAGTTTTTATTAAATTTTATGGTGAAATTATGACAGTGATGTGTTAAGATTCTATAACCATTTTCTTGCGGATATAAATATTTGTGAAAAGGCCCCAGCCCTCCCCCCCCCCCCCCCCTCTATAACTATTTTCTTGCGGATATAAATATTTGTGAAAAGGCCCCACCCCCCCCCCCCCCCCCAATGTCCATAAGTAATATATGTAAAGGTCTCAATTTTTTCAGAATGTTGGTGCCAGCGCATAATTTTGTTTTGTCCTATTGCCTTTACGACATTACATAGGATTATATTTTTCCATTTAAATGAGCAAATTCCATTTGCGAAATGTTCTCTTTGTATGTCATTAAAATTTTGAGTCATGCACAAGCCATATATTTATTTTTGTGTGTTATTTTAGAATATGTGTGATAAATTGTTACCAACAAAAAAAATATATTTCCACAATTTTTTTGCTGCCCTCTCGGATACTTCTTCTCAGCTAAGTGCTATTTTTAATTTTCTTCTGTTTTGTCTGTTGTTTGTTTGCTGATGAAGGCTTCCTGCCGACACTTTCGTTGTTATATTGCGTTCCTTTTTTTCATGTTTGACCTTACTTTGTTTTACTCATTTCCTATTTTGCTAACCTGATTGCAGTCTCTCATTTTATAAATAATATAGCTATTGAAAAAAAATCTAATATTCATATTCATTCACCAGATTTTGGGTCCTTTACTATAAAAGAACAAGAAACAAAAAATAATTATATCATATTTAACAATTTATTTAAATGGTAAAATAAAAAATTATTACTCCACTGGTTACAGTTTGGACAAGTCTAAATCATAAACTCTGACTGCACTATCACCACCACAGCTTGCCAGCTGTAACCAATTTGAACTTTCATCGCTATAGCCCAATCTGCCTAGATGTGATCGGAAAGTGAGTCGATTGACTGTCAAATGATGGGCTTCACTACAGAGAAAGAAAAAAAAAAACATGTTTTAGTTTCATAAAAGTACAATGGCAAATTAATTACAGAACTCTCCAAGTACAAAAGGTGATAAGTAAGAATAATGGCTGTCATGAATAACAAAGGAAGAAATGAACAGTTCATCAAACAAAATTGATTCAAACAACTACATGTTAGTGCTTACTTGTTCATTAATGTAGAAACCTCTGTCCACTCATTACTACCATCACCATTTAGTGCGCTCGGTGGTAGCCAAGTATAAATAAATATTTGACCATTGTCCAATCCTATGGCTATCAAATACCTAAAGAGCATTTGGCGAAAAAAAATTTGTTAGACTCACAAGACTTAAAAAATTATTGAGCAAATAAGGGGGAAAAGTTTTAAAGTCTTACAGGAAAAGTAATCAATCAAATTTGTTAACTTTAAACTTAATACAAGTATAGCTAAATATATTTTACAAAGTTAATCATAGTTTGAGAGTCATTAAGAAAACTCACCTGTTCTGCACAAAACATGGAGCAGCAGCTATAGCCGTAACAGAATCAGGTAATGTTAATGATGACACTGGGACAGGTGAGGAAGTGTTACTGTTAATTGCCTCAGATGACCAAACCAGGACCTAGATATGACGTCTCAGATTACCATATTTATCTTCCAAACTTCAATTTATGATTGTGTTTAAAAAAATTTAACTAAAATTTTATGAAATCCATAAAATGGGATATTTACAATACTTTTGGTTATATGACTCAATAGAGTTGAAGATATTTAACCTAAACACATGGAGAAGATAAGAGAATAAATCAAATATAACTAAACCTTTTTATCTCTTGAACCAGTAAAAAAAAACTTGTCATCTCTGGACCATGAACAAGACCAGATTATCCTGGTGTGTGATGCTTTTTTATCCACATGGGCTTTTAGCGTAAACATATCACCTGAAAAAAAATAAAACAAAACTTTGCAAACAAGAATCACAGTGATTTTGTTTAAACGCTGAAGAAAATTTCATTTGTACTTATATTCTAGCAAACACGGGCATAAATGATTCAATTTAAGACATAATTTACAGGTGTATAAACATACAAAGTACATGGGGCCTGTCTAGTTATCTGTGGCATCCAAATGAGTATAATAAATATTTTTATGAATTTCCATGATCCAATTTGTAAACAATACTTGGTTTTGATTTTAAAAAATAATAATTTAGAAATTAATAGCTATTATTTTTTTTTTACAGAAAATCTAATAAAAATTTCAACAAAATGACACACTCCAATAATCACTTGTGCACACCAAATGAGATATTTCCAAAAGGATTGAATTTTACTTCCCTGGTGGCTGCAGCTAAGGACTTCTTATTATTGTAATAAAATCTGAGATTTATGGTTGATTTGTGTTTTCTTGCCATGTTCCATTTATGTCAGTTACAGAACATATTACTAATGGGTACTCAGATACTTGCTTAAGAATCCTGTAATGCAAAATGCCGCACAGGTTCAGTTTTGACAAACAACCATGATAGTATTATCATGCAAATGAAGTGTATATTTGTTATAAAATAACTTTATTTATTTTCCACCCTGCTTATTAGCAAACCAGAGTCAATTTCAAAACATAGACACACGACTGATATAAAATATAACCCAGTCTTACCTGATTTGCTGTACAAAGCCCAAGTTCTGTCCCTTGATACTGCCAGGAGCTGATCCCCTTTATTGCTAAAAGCCATCTGTGTAACTGTAAGTGTGCACCCACTGAGTGAGGCAAGGCTCTTCTTGGATGTCATGTCCCACACTAGTATGTTGGCATTTTCAGCTTTAGCTGCCTTTAAATTTAAAAAGGAATTAACATTACTTCATGTTAAATGTATATATAATGCTGATGAGATCTCATGAAATATTATTTATTTACAAAATTGTGATATCTATAAGTTTGATTTTAAGGAAACAGAAATAATTACTATCAGGTAATTTACATATTTTTTTCAATGTTATAAAACAAATGCACCTGACCTTGCATGCTGATGCCAGAATTTGACCATCTGGGCTTGCAGCAAGGGTGAAAATCTCATAGCCATGGCCATACAGCTTTGCCTCTTCAGGCCAAAGAGTATTTTGTAACAGTAAATCTTCACTGGGAGGACCTGGCATTGACAATGTATAGATTTTTAAAAAATAAAGTAGAAAATAGAGTGAGGGCACTGCAATGTCAGGTTAAGCTTGTTAATCCTTTTATTTGCCCCATAGAGGGATGCAGAAGGGTTATTCCTTTTGTAATTATGTATTGATGCCAATCAGCCAGGCAGTGATGTGTCCATTTTACTAGTGGATTTGAGCTAACTAATTTTGTTTGGAAGAAAGTTTAAAATGGTTAAAATGTTAACTACTTTATGTTTATGTACACTATTATGTCTACAAATATAATGTCTTCATGACTCACTTTTAAGATCAATAGCATTAAAATAATTTTCTGGATATTGCCCTTGTTTTGTTGTTTGTTCTTCTTCTGTCTGACTTTCTTTGTCACCATCAATGTAAACAGCTTTGTTAGATAAGCCAAGAGCTGGAACATTAGCACCTTCTGGTAATGACAGACATTCCTGCAGAGACAGAATGACAGAAGGTATAGTTTTGAAATAATTAATTTGTTGCATTGCGTTCAATTCATGTATTAAAAAAAATAAAAAAATTGTGAATTTTGTTTGAACAGCTACAGTAAAACAGTTTGACAAAAACAAATCTTACCTCACGTCTTAATTCTTCGGATAAATCATGTCCACAAATGTGACAAAAATTACTGATGAAGTTTCTAGGTGCTTTGAAAATACGAACAAGCTTTTCATCCGCCCCTGATGCAAAAGAGTATTTTCCCAACATAGCTAAACACTGGAGATCATAGCCATGAACTTGAGGTCTGGCAATTTCATACCACGTGGGCTGAAAGTTTTTATTTCAAATGTAAGACCCAATTTAGAATTGAAATAATGTCATGTAACACAATAATCATAAAACCAGAAGTAATTAATCATAAACAGATTTAGCTATGATTATTATGAGTATAATTGTTTAAGGGGTTGAAAACCAAAATGGTGAATTTTACATTTTAATTTTAAGAGGTTGTCCTGACATTAATAGGAAACTTTACAAATGATTTACTAATACAAATTTTCTAATTATATAGTAAATGCAACTTGCTAACATTGACCTTTAACTTGTCTCTTATCCATGGTGCATGCAGTCTAGTGGTTTGATCTACACTTGCACTCAGGAGAAAGTCACTCCCTCCTCCAGACCAAGCAATGTCAACTACTGAACCAAAGTGACCTCCTCCTGTAACTTGAGGTTCCCATATTTTTGTCTCCTGGAAAATTATTATTTTTTAATATCAAACTATAAAATAAACAGAAATGAAATCCCTTGAGCAAAATGTATAACTATTTGGTATCAATTTTTAACCCTTTTGAGACGGAGCCTTTTTGGACCGTCTGTGCCAAAAAGATGGAGCCCTTGTCACAAGCCCTGCACTACTTTGCACAATCTTAATAAAAAATTAATTACTTTACAAATATTAAACTATATATTCTTGTAGCCTACTGAATAAACTAATAGGATCTTTATGAATCAAACTCTTTACGAATCAAACTGAAATCTTAACATATATGCAGAAGAGATATCTTGATGTGCATAATTTATCCATGCAACTTTTTAAAGAAAAATTAAAATAAAATTTTCTAACTTGGAGAATTTTGTTAAATTTTATGATTGTAGAAGCCTAAATAATTCCTTACCTTTAAATGAGTGAGATTCAATGTGTAAAACTGCATGCAATATTCCCCTGGGGCTGCCTATGTCTTTCGGCATATTTCAAGTTAACATTTTTTTTATAAGGGTCACTCAGTACAAAAAAATTTATATAAAATGACAGAACACAGTAAAATATCAATGGAAGTTACCATT